TTTAACTTCCAATTAATATACAGACCTGGAAATAGGAATAAAAAGGCTGATGCTCTTTCTCGAATTCCTTCTAAAACTACTACTGATGATTATCCTCCTACCAAAATAATAGGGATCCTCTCTTCTCTTCATGATGACATAAAGAATTTGAATCAGAAGGATCTTGAACTTCCCAAAACAGCTATACTAACAAAAAAGGATGGTATATTTTATTTTAAAAATAGAATTTATATTCCTCCCATTCTTAGGAATAAATTACTTAAGATGGTTCATGATTCCCCTCTAGCTGGACATCCTGGAATAAAGAAAACACTTGAACTAACTTCACGATATTATTGGTGGCCTCGCCAGGATAGAACCATTGAATTATATGTCAAAACATGTCCTATTTGTCAAAGGTCTAAACCAGAACATAATCAACCTTTTGGATTACTACTTAACTTACCTATTCCAGAAAAACCTTGGCAATCCATTTCCATGGATTTTATCGTTGATCTTCCACCTTCTCAACATTTCACCACTATTCTTGTCGTTGTGGATCGCTTTACAAAAATGTCCCATTTCATTTCTTTAAAAAAATTACCCTCCTCTGTAGAATTGTCCAAAGTCTTTATTGACAATATTGTGAAACTTCATGGTCTTCCTGAAGAAATTATTTCTGATAGGGGGACACAATTTACCTCCAAATTCTGGAAAGAGATGTGTCTCTCCATTCAAATTCAACGCAAACTCTCTTCCGCTTATCATCCCCAAACTAATGGGCAAACAGAAAGGGTTAATCAATGTTTGGAACAATATCTTCGATGTTATTGTTCATACCTCCAAGATGACTGGACCACATGGTTACCTATGGCCGAATTTTCTTACAATAATTCCATTCATTCTAGTACGAAAATGACTCCTTTCTTCTCCAACTATGGTTTTCATCCGTCTTCATTCCCCATCCAAACCATTACTTCATCCAATCCTACTGTTACATCAAAAAACGAATTTATGTCTTCTCTATTTCTCAAATTACGGGAGAATCTTCAACTTGCTCAAAACTACCAGAAAAAGTTTTTTGACAATAGAAGAAGAATTCCCCCTCCTTACAAAGTAGGGGATCTTGTCTGGCTCTCTTCAAAAAATATTACCACAAACCGTCCTTCAAAGAAATTGAGCTCTCTTTTTCTTGGTCCTTTTCAAATAATTACAATTATCAATGATAACGTTGTTAAATTAAAACTTCCTCCAAGTTTTAAACTTCATCCAGTATTCCATGTCTCTCTTCTTAAACCACACATCCCTGATCCTTTTCATGGAGAAATAGTTACAACTCCTGAACCTATCATCGTCCAAGGTGAAGAAGAATATGAAATACACAAGATTTTGGATTCACGTGTCCACCGTGGCACCTTACAATACCTTATTAGATGGAAAGGTTATGGAGTTGATGAAGATACTTGGGAAGATTCATCTAATGTTCATGCAAAAAGATTAGTTGATGCTTTTCACAAACGCTGTCCCTTTAAACCAAAGTAAGTGCACCCAGAGGATGCCCCATGAGAAGGGGGTACTGTCAGGTATACTCTATCATCCATACTGCCGCCGGAACCCACTTCCGGGTTCACGGCGCTTAGCCCCGCCCCTTTTCTCTGACGCGGTCCTTCCACGATACTTAGGAAGACCGCGCCAGATTCAAGGTGCTGGATTATTCACGCAGGTACGGCATTGAGATCAGCTGCTCTATTGAATGCTACCGGCTACACTCCTCTCTCGACCTCGGCTTGTAACCAGATTTCAACCTTCCCCACTTCTCGACCTCGGCTTGGAAAACGGACTTCTACCTTCTCCACTCCCAGACCTCGGCTTGTAAAAACGGACTTCCTTACTTTCCACTCCTAACGCTCAGCTTATTCATAGAGAGTCATAATCTCTCCTCCATTGGGTGAATTAACCCTTCCAATACCAGAACTTCCTCTAAGTTAAGTAATCCTTTTTCTCCAAGGAAACCAATTCATATTAATTATTTTCACTTCATTCCTCTCTTGTCAATAAGGGATTACTACTAAGTCTTATTTCTCCTGCAAATATCATTTTATTATTAATTGCAACCTGTCCAGCTTATTTATCATTATACTAATAAATCATTCCATCTTAATTAAGTTGGAACTAGCATTGCTTTCCTTCCTGCATGTGTATTTAAAGATACAGTCAAGCTTGTTTACTTCAATATAAAGGAGGTGTAATTATTGTTTCTGCAGTTGAGTTCCAATTAAAGGGATATTACACAATCCCATCACACTCTCCATCCGTCCTAGATATCTCTCTTTAGGAATTCCAGGATGATCCCGCCGCTGCCACCAATTGTTACGATTGCCCCCGGTCTAGCAGGGGTGTTGATCGCTTGGATGTCCTGGTTCCCGCTGCAGAGAGTCGAACGGAGGTCTTTCGGTAGTCGGCTGTAAGTGTAGAATATCCCCAAGCACGATATAAGCATCAATATCCCGGATCCCTACAACATGAGTCGAGGCTGCAAGTTGAGGGTCAAAACGAACTGGCTTTACTGGCACATAGCATGGCAATTTATGTGATTCCTCAGGTCCAAGGACAGCCCCCTGTGGACCTGATGGAATACAGGTACAGTACAAACAGGTAACCAATCACAGTACACTGTATTATTTGAATTAGTACCCGCCTAGCTTGGAGATAATGAGGCCAACGGTTTTACAATCTAATTATCTCCAAGCGCACAAAAGACCACGTTTTATTATGTCCCAGAAAACTACATAAAAATCCATAACTTGTACATTATTACAGGAAAACCATTCATTCCACCATTCATTTGAAGGCTCGCGTTCGTATAGATAAACCAGGCGAATGCCGCTCTAATCCCACGAACAGAATGTACTGTTTCTGCCGTATAAAGTCCGTTCGGCATTTTGAGATGTTTAGTCTTTGTTGGCGGCCATGTTTTCTGCTGGTTTAGCGAGCAGCGGGACTTCGTGTCTAACTCGTGGAACTAAACTCGGTATCAGTTCCTGCGAAGTCCCGCTGTCGGGCTGGTAGTGGGCTCGTTCGGTAAGGGAATGAGGACCACCTGAGAGCAGGGTACTTGACCTGCGGTTAACCGCAGAAACCACAGTTAATGAGCGCCACGCGACCCGCTGTAGGGGGTCGTCGTTCGGTGGATCGTTCGGTATTTTCCCTTCGGCACTTTGGGTGCGAACGTCGATGCCCCCAGGCCTACCAATTACATTGTGGTTAACCGCAAACCGCAGCCATCTGGGTGGTTAATGGCTACCACACTCCGCGAGCCGGGGGGGCGCCCGTTCGGTAGTTTGCGGGGTGACGGGGTTAAGTGGCGGCACACGCCAGTTTCTGGGGGGTCCCCCGTTCGTACCACGAATGGAGCCTCCCTAAGGGTTCGTGTAATCCATTCGTGTGGTTTTCTGTTTAACTTATGCAGTGGCAAACAGTATCAATCAGTGAGTAAAAACAGCAACATGGTGATTTCCAGTCTTTTGTAACAGTGGGGTAATAGCTGCTTGATCCAAGGAGACATCTGACTGCTGTTTTGGGGTTGTTTTGAAGGAATTTTTTCCTAGTTTGTTGCAAAATTGGAAGCGCTTCAGACTGGGTTTTTTGCTTTCTTTTGGATCAACAGCAAAAACATATGTGAGGAAGGCGGAACTTGATGGACGCAAGTCTCTTTTCAGCTATGTAACTATATAACTAAGTATAACTATATAACAAACGTTGACACAAATGCGGTCTTCCATTCTAACCTCCCAAACTTTTAGTTAGCAGACAAGGTACTCCTATAAAGATAAAGATAAGTAGTGACCTACACACAATGAAACCACATAGGCACTGCCACTGTTCATGTATGTCAAAAATACAGCCCTTAATGATCTCTCAGTAAAATGGCCTTGAAAATAACAGCAAAAAGTGATTGAAATATGCTTTTATTGACCATATCCCTGCTGGCAGCACTAGCAGCTGGCGGCAAATGGTTAAAAAAATAAAAAGCCTATGGTGGCCAGTACGATGGTCTAAAATCTCCCCCATGCCCTCACTTGCCATGTTGGGAGTGGGGCATGTCCGCTAAATAGCAAGCAGCCAGTGCTGTAATAAAAAAGACTAGCAACTATAGCTGCCCGTCACTAGTACTTTAAGGCCTTTTTGTTTTTCAGTAAGTGTGTATGGAGGCTGTGTACGTCACAGCTAGGGCTGCATGAACAAAGGGATTAAATGTCCAGATTGTAGAAAATTGAGCAGTAAAAATGCACGATCTATATACCAAAACCACTTCATTAAGCTAAAGTTTTGTTGCATAGTGGGCCCCCTTAATAAGGTTAAGATTGTGGCAAATGATGTTTGTAGATGTGCTTGTGGCTAAGTTTGTCTTTATGTGCACAATGTTGGTGATGGGGTTGGGCCTTGTAATTTATTCTTGCCCAAGGCTTCACATATGTTAAGTGTGGCTTTGCAGAAAACCGTTTTCTGTATGTGTGCAACTGAGAGCAGAAATCCACTCTCTTAATTGTAGACGTTTTGAACAACATCTCTGCTGTATCGTGTATGGGACATTTGATGGTGTTGGTGATTTAACAGATGTCAAAGAAGTCAAGTGCTACGTGTATACAAAATTGATCCTCCTAAAAAATATATATATATTATTAGGCCCTAGCCTCAATGTTTATTTGAAGTAGCCAGAAATATTTGAATGGCTTTTTTTTTTTTAACAGATAATATGATATAAAAAACATTCAAACGCAAGAAAAATATAAACAAGCCATTCTTGTAACCCGTATCTTTATGATTAATTTAGGCTATGCATGTGGCAATGAAATGGTTTTTTTTATTACTATTTTAAGGTGGCAAAGTTTTTTGCTACACTGTAATGATGAGATTAAACATAAATGATGACTAATTTAGGTGGAGAGGAAACAAGAGGATATGAAGTTCCTAACATAAAACTTATATTTACACAGATTTTTTTTCTTTTTAAATATAATTCACTGACCTGAAATCCTTATTCCTGGTTGATTTTGTATATTTAACAACACAGATCTGAAGTTGCAAAATGTTGGGTTGTTGGGGTTGACGTTTATTAAAGAATAGACTGATAATAATCTTGATTTGTCTTCCGTGCTCGATTCATTTGAATTGTCCAATGGTTTTCCTAGACTGTCCTTCCACAGAACTGTAGGCTTAGGATACCAACCGTTAGATTCACACACAGCTGTAATGCCTTTATCCTTATCAGTTATTCGAATCACAGGGCCAGTGCCCAACACTGTAAATCAGAACAAAAACAACATGACGTTGGGTTCTCTTGTTATCAAGCCCAGGTAAAGTATAATATATAGTTAGAATATAATTAATAATGTGGCTTGTTGAAGCATTTTCTTTTTTTCAAAATTGTGCCAAGATTTCTTTACATGTTGTGATTTTGCCTGTTTAAACTTGTGGTGGTCAAAGGCAGATCCCATGATGCTTTGTTGGCCTTAAAGGCACAATCCAAGCAACATAACCACTACAGTGTTCTGAAGTGGTTATAGTGCATGCCTCTGTGAAAGCCAGAAGCTCTTCGCATTGACTTAAGTCTGACAATACGGGCTTAGCTCACTGGCTGAGAGTTATCATCTGACACTTTCAGACAATGCGCACAGCAGGAGCATCCAGCTCTCCACACTAAAGGGGGGGCTCCATAGCACTCCTGGCAACAATACAGTGCTCTATAGTAGTTATGGTGCTCTGGATGTTCTTTTAATGTTGGTTAAGCCACATGGGAGGTATAGTTTTTTTTAGTATTTATGGATCTATAAGCCACCCCTGATTTAGAGCATTACACCGCAAGTCTATAATCACGCACACAACTGTTGCAGAGCTGGACTCTATGACAAGAGTTCTTTTTAACTCAAGCTATGGGATGGGATTTTTACCACTGTCAATATGAAAAAAACTACTGATCAGTACCCACAGAGACCTTTATTTATCTGTGCTTGTTGAATCCAACCCAGTTTTACATATATCCTGACTGGAACATACCTGGTAAATCCAAGCACCACTGCATAGCTACATGAACACTGTTGCGAATCCCTGATTTAGATTACTATCTTTGTAGATGTTAACCAATGCATGTTTGGGCAAAAACAAAACGAACATTATCTCCAAAAAAAATCAAACACAACACAAGCAGATATGTGATTAGCAAGACAAGAAAGGGTTGAAAATTCCCATGAGCTAATCCACTCAACCTCAAGAAAACATTTGCATCAGTGATGTCAAATACGTACTCTCCATGGTTTCTCTGGCAGAATTACCGAATGATAGGATTTGTGATCTAGAAATATTTGTGAGGGTGAACACATTTCAACGTCCTACTTTTAAGGTTGGGTTTCTTGCAGTAGAATGCATTGGTGTGTCTACTGAAGTTATTTTGTGATGTCTACTGTTGTAGGAGAAAGCTTGGATTTTCAAAATATTTCATGAATTAATTAGAATATGTATATGTGTTCATAATCAACGAGTTTGCTTTATCATATAAAAGAGTACAAGAACAAAAAAAAAAAAACCTTACTGGTTAATATGAGCTCCAAGCTGTTTTCATTATAGTAATTATCAGACTGAACAAAACAATAGTATATGCCGTTATCAAATGGGCCAACATCACGGATTAGCAAAGAGATTTCCCCCATTTTTAAATGTTCTGTTACAAGCTTTGTTCTTCCTTTGTATCCTTTTATTTGACTTCCAGTCACCTCTTGACCACGGCGATACAAAAATGCAAATTCTGTAGATGGAGATCTAGAAATTCCAATCTCCATATTTTCAGCATTGATTTCAGGCGAGAGATGAAACGATAAAGTGACATCTGAACCAATTGTAGCGCTGATAGGTGTTTTAGTAGCAATTACAGTAAATCGATCTGTGAATGATAATGAATATAATTGACTGTTCTAAGTGAATTCAAATTCATAGTAATAATAGCTAAAAATGGCTATATGCTACTTTGGCATTAAATGTGAAGTTCGTGAACAACCCTGAGTATTTAGAGTTAGCTGTATACATGTTTGAGTGGGGTAGGGGTAGTCTGAGGTTAGAGAGGTACATGCCTTCAATGCATTGAGGACTGCAACTCTAACTTTTAAAACCTAGATTTTGGATCCACATACATTAACAAAGAAACCAAAAATCACTACTGATTGAATGATAGACATTTTAGGACTTTCTCCATTTTAAATTCTGTGAGTATTTATTTGTATTTCTCTTATTTTAGATATCACAGTAGTTTAAATATGAATTCAAATAAACATCTCTAATATGCAAGTTTGCAGTGTATACATCTTCACTGATCAGTTATTTACTAAAGCGTGATTTGCGAACAAAGTGAATTTCAACATATTAGGTAAAATTAGTTGATCTGAATCTTCACCTTGAAATTTTCAATTCACTTTTTCAGTGAACAACCTTTGACTTTCTGAATATGTCATATGTATCTTTGCTAGACTCTCATTTCAGATTCCTTGTGCCATATATTGTTACAATGATCTGATCATTGGATACTATCAATCAATAATATCATCTGGCCAGTTGCTCATCTGAGTAGAGTTTGGAATCTAACTATAAAACCTGTATGTCCATTGCCTGTAGCCAGGATAAATGGGATATGGAATTACATCTACTATATGTCATAGTTCATTTTTTTTAAATCTGATGTTTTTCAGTCATTTTAAAAAGGAGAATATATATATATTGTTTAAATAAAAAAATATAGGTTTTCTTTTCTTATCTCTCATGATACTTAGTTTTCTTTTAAAATGTTAACTTTAGAGTTAGCAATTGCCATCACAAACCACATCAATCCTGGCATAGCCAGGGCAATCGTTGCTTTAAAGAAGGAGAAACAGAACTTATTGTTTTAGTTTTCTTCACTTCCCAGGCTCACCAAAAGGTGCAAAGAGCAGAGCTCATAACAGTGATTAACATGGAGTCAAAAAGGAGGCACTCTGGTTTTGAATAGAGGTAACTAGTCGGATGACTTAATGTACATACTCAAATTTGTTAAAAGAAGGGAACAGTAAACAGAATTAGGGATAATAGCCTGCGTTATACACAAATGGTTTTAGTTTTATTGGCTTAATTGTTGGCAAGCTGCTGCTGATAAAGTAATTGCTGTAACTCACATACCTGATAGAGAACGCTGGATTTGAGACAAGAATAGCAGTAGAATCAGCAAATAAGAAGAGTGATTTGTTAACCTACAGAGAACAAACACATTGAATTGCAATACAAATAGCAAATGATAAACCGTTTACATTTGAAAAAGAAAAAATATTCTAAGAAAACTAGCATAAAAAAGAATTGCTCAAAATATTATTTTTCAAATGATGTAAAGTAATGTACAATTTGTATTTTATTATTATTCTTGAATCAACCCTATGCCTACTCAAAACTTTACACAGACTGTTGTGGGGGAAGCACCCCTGCACTGGGCTAGAAGTGCCAGCAGCGTATTTAACACCATCAAAGCCCCTCCCCAAACAAAAACAAAAAATCCAAAATAAACAAATCACAAATAACCCACTAAAAGCATGCATGCATTTAATTATACATTTTCCATTGGAGGTATATCCAAAAACAGTCTTACAAAAAGTGAATATCTCTAGTCTGAAGCCTTTGCAAGCCCTCCCCTTCTAATCCAGTCTAGACTTTCTGTGGCTGTCCAATCACAGCCTTTTCAATGCAGCTAAATGATACATTTGGAATGCAGGTTCTTTGGGCAATTGATTGTCCACTGAGCTAAACAACCAGCAACTAAGAGAACCGGTGATCTGATTGACAATCAGGGGCGTGTAACAAGGTTAATTTATAAAGGTGACAATTTCTATTGAAATCTGCACTTTTTGTAAAATTTAAAAAAAAGAACCAATGAGCAGCACCCTGTAAATTGCAGGTACAAATTTAAACCTTTCTAAAATAGTTTGAATACACACAATAATGGAGGCACCAGAACACTACTGGCAGCATAACCACTACAGAACTCTATAGTGGCTACAGTGCTTGGAGTGTTCCTTTAAGTATTCTAGATCAGTTTATCTTGTTATATTTTATATTAAAGCCTACTACTGTACCTGTTTTTTTTATTTTATTATTATTTATTTTTGCATGTCATTAGACAAAGATCACAATCCAGGGGGAGGGGAGGGTTGGAATGCCGTCAAGCGGAATCAAGCAGGAACGTGCGGAAACATCCCGCATGGGGTCCTAATGCACCTTTTCCAGTCGGGGAGACCACTCTAAAGAGTGTCATACCGGGGGCAGGGTTCGGGATTCTGTTTACCGGGTTAGGAGGCAAAGAAAAAACTCCCGGCTCCCGCATCCCTGAAGCTCCACCCGCATGAGCTCCCCACCCCCTACACCGGTGAACGCCGGTGCCACCCCTCCAGTTCCCAGGAGTGCTAAATTATCTATGTATCATGAGATCTACTGTACCTGTTTTGAAGCATCATGAAAACCTTTTTGAACAATGAGACAAGGACCTATAAATGTAGACAACAAAGACGTTTGAGTAAATTTAGAAGCAATATGATCATTGTATTGTATATTGCAATATAGGGGATAATCTATGTGGTCTAATGATTTTCATAACCTCAATATTTCTATAAAGGACGGACAAATAAAAAAATGTGCAAAATTACATTTTTATGAAATCTACCATTAGCTTATTTGACAGCTGTACTTCCCATGTTCCAAATAAATAATTCCAAATAAATATTGCACTGTGATTTTTGAAAACAACATGTCCTTGGTAGTAAGTAAATATACATTCATTCCAAACAGTTAAAACCACTTACAATTTTGTTGGTGAGTAGTTTTACTAGACTCACATATAATTCTGGATGTGATAAACAGTCCAGTTGTGGTTGTTTTTTTCCTGTGAGTCCTCTCAATTGTGCATTATCACAATTCCAAACCTTTACACTGTACACCATTAGTTGGGTTTCTCAACGTGTATCTCCCACTTTTGTGTCCCATCTTTCCTTCCACAATGAAATCAATATTTTTTTGTCATTATAGAACATAAAGTCACGCAGTAACCTGAAAACAATGTTAGGTAATATTTAGGCAAACTCATCCATTATTGATTGATTCCTAGAAATTAATCTAATAGTTTTTGTTTCTCCAAAAGGAGCAGCACGTATTGCATCTTGTAAAATTTACTTATTCATAACATTTTCCCAGGAAGGAAACAGTGAAATTTCTTCTACTTTTCCAATATGTCTGGGAAAGCATATACAAATACAATATTACACATATAATAGGAGACGTACACCATAAAAGTATAAATACAGTTTTATACATACAATAGACAATGAAAGACAATTACACATTTCCAGTGAGTACAGTTGTGTCACATTACCTTATGTGGCCCAGGCTGTTACACAACCCGTGGAGGTCACTGAAGGGTAGAGGGACCCTTTCCACGGTCCCTCTCATCTCACCAGCCGTTCCAACTGTGGATGGCGTAGCTCCTCCCCCTTTAATGACACTAATGATGTCACAACCTACCAAAACGTTCAAATTCAACCGATTTGGGGGCATGGCTATCAATTAAAGGCATGGATTATATAAAGAACATTTCTGGTGCTAGTGATTGCCCTGTTGTGGTTTCTGTTTTCAGTTCCCAAGAGTGCGTTTTATTCTGTGTCTATTTTGGTTTTCTCCTGACTATTTTCCGTTCTGTTCACCTGACGCGGCTATTAGTTTTTCGCTTCCCTTATTTCTGGCTTCCCTGACTCGGCTTGTCCCTGACCATTCTTGTTCTGACAGTATATAACCCGGCCATTCTAAGGACCGGTAAAAGGGTCTAATCTATTATCATATATTTACTCTGGGTGTGTCACGGTCCACGATGTGACATCCAGTCTGCCAGACGTGGTCGCTCCGGAAGCGCCCGATAGGGGATTTGAACTGTGGTTCTTCTGGACCGTATCCAACTGTTCTTTCTCTGAGCCATTTCAGGACTTTGGATAACTCCTGTTTATTCTTGTATTGCCTGCAGCACTAGGGGGCTGGACTTCACCAAAGGCTCGGATCTGTCAGTAACTCTCCAGCTGAATCTGATACCTAATTAACAAGGTATAAAAGGCTGCCTCACCCTGGGAGGGGTGTCAGTTCATTGACTCTGGTTCCCTTGTTTGGTTCCTGTTACTCCGTAACGGCGTTCCAGTGATTTCTGTCTAATTCCGGCTTCTGACCTTGGCTTTCCTCCTGGACTACTCTGACCTCTGGCTTCCCTGATTTTGGCTTCCCTCGACCATGCTTCTGCTAATCCCTGCTGTACTGAGACTTGGAACACTTTTCCTGGAAAGCCCCCGTGCACAGACTCACAGGCCAGGTGGCGTCTTACCTGGTTACCCTGGTCTGTGTCTACTTTGCAAGGGTGAGCGTATAACTCTGCGAGCTGGACTCCCTATCAGGTAAGACTCCGTTACAGGGTGTTGGGTGTGGCGAAACTAACCTCGCCACTTGGTCCTGGAGAAGCCTGTGTTACAAAACGCCTTTTGTCCCTATTTTCTCTTATGACAAATTGCCCTGCTTCCCTGGGTTATGGAGAAGCCTGATTACCAGCCTCCTGCCTCATGACTATGGCCCCCTCTCATCAGCTCATGCTAAACTTAAACCCTCTGGCGATTTGACTGTGTTTGTGGGATCTGAGCGATTTTGGGATATATTGATCGCTCAGATCCAAGCCATCTGGGGATAGGTTGAATGTGGGGTTTCTGTTCAGTATGATAGGAGTTATGTATTTTTTTGTATTTTTGCTGTTGTTGTGAATAGAGATTTTCTGTACCTGGAGATAGCTGCCTTACCACACCAAGTTAAGCCAGTTATCTCGCACAACTCTGTGGAGCTGGTTTGTGCTGGAAAGCCATGCTTGCAGTTGGTCACTGTAGCGGAGAGCTGGTATTACACAGCCTATCTCCACTTTAGATCCCAAGGAGGTTCAGGAACAAGCAATATAAATCCATAGGGTAAAGTATCCAGCAGTCAAAATAACACAGCAGTATCCCAACAGCATTCCCAATAACTGGACGACACACAGTATCAGGAGCAGAACTAAAGATTTATTCAGACAGTGGCCTTATAAAGCCTGCTCCCATGTAAGGGAGGGATTTCCATTAATTTGTACTGTAGCCAATCCTGCTCTGGTAACCTCCCACACATCTCCTCCCCTCAGCCTGCATCATAATCCCCTTATACAGCACACCAATTCCCCCCATTTCTAGATGTACCCCTAAACTTAGGGGTACCACTTTAAATTATACATCCCCTGGTAGCCTTGATCTGGGTGAACAACATATCCAAAAATCACCCAGATCAGACCAGGGGTTCGGGAAATTTATGGAGGGAATAAAATGACCCACTGCACTGGAGTGAACAGCCGAATGGGGTTCCATGCGATGGGGCCCTGCGGTCGGTCCTGGAGTAAGGGAATAAACTGCACGAAAGCCTCTAGCTACAGAGACTAGGGAGGGTTCACCTGAATCCCCTCGTTCGGTTGTTTCTATCTACCGAACGAGGGTCCGTTCGGTAGTTTGGAACCGAACGGACCGGGCTTGTGGAGGTTTCAGCGGTGTTCGCCTAGTCGAGTGCCCGATTTGAGTTCCAGACACTCGACGCCACGTGTTCGTTTCCCGAATGGCGGCCACCCCCGAGAACAAAGGATGGCTACTCAGCTTGTCAATTACCCATTCGCAACAATGTTGCAACGGGTAATTGAAGGCACACTTCACACAGGGGAGGTTTGGCTGTTCGGTAGTTTCATTCGAACAAACCAAGGGAATTAAACTACTGAACATTCAGACGAATACAATACATTTAACACATATAACTTTGCTATTTTACATGAATGCATTCAAACACATGTAATTCTCAGGACAGCCCGGTGCCATCTGCTACAGTCACAAAGGACTTCGGCCTAACTTTTAAACCACTGAAAGGAATTGTCCTATTTTTGAGTATGTTTGTATTTGGAGTATGCTGGTCCTGAAAATGTAAGTGAATGTGATGTATACTTTTAAAGTTTTGAATATTGTGTAAAACTGTGTATTTTCCTGCCTGTGATAATAACGTTAACCCATTGTGTTCAGTAATTATATCACAGGCAGAGGGGAGGATTTTGCTGGAATGAATGGGAGTGTTTTACTGTATATTACGTGTTTGACTTTTCCACAAAACCCTGTGGGTGGTACTTTATATGTAAAATGTGTATATAAGAACAATAAAGCTACAGCTCTGTCTGTTCATGTTTTGACCCTCAACATAGAGCCTTTTCTCATGTTTGGGGATACTGCTGCATCTTTACTGGGGGATTACTATACTCTGTATACTCCCCTAGCTATTATCACTAAGCTCTTTTAAGAGCTTGTTCCAGCTTCCCTCTCTGCAGGAAGAGAGGTTCGGTATGCAGTGCTTATGGTGTCTGGAGAAGTGCTTGGAGCCCTTGGGAAGCACTTGGAGCATCCATCAACGGAGGTACTCGGTCGGAGTACAAGGAGCTCCGTTACATTGGGTCACTAGATATTGTGACAGGTTGCTTATTGATATTTTCAAGGACTTTAGATTAGTGACAGATTTGATATTCTAAAACAGGCCATATATCACATCTATAAGTAAAGGCTTCTTGACAGAATTTTTCAAGGAATGTATGGAACAAGAAGTGGAATGGAGGACGTAGGGGTAGAGGCAGCAAGAATGTGAATACTGCTCGTACTTGCTCATACTGTTGCAATTTTCCGGATGAGAAGCTATGAATAAGTCAATTAAGGTGAAAAGGATGTCTGGTTTTAAGAGTTAGCCACTTTAGTTCCAACATAGTTATACTGGGGGAAAAAGTATAACGTGAGTTCCAGATTTAGTGTGATGCAGATGAATATTAACATTTGCAGCACAATCATTTTTCTTATGGGAAGATCTCAGCAGAATGTATTCTGAATCTGTACAAATCACCAAGTTTGGATGATAGACA